CTTGTCTATTATTAATCCTAATTAATGGTGAGTGAAATCCCCTCCTCCACAAATATCCTACTGGTCAATCTCTAAGGAATGAGAGGAATTCTAAGTAATTTTCAGTGGGCAAGAGCTTACTGGTAGAGGGAAGTATTTCTTTCTTAAATGTTTGGTTTGCTGCTATGGCAAGTGAGGATGGCAACAACAGTGCTCCTAAGTGCCCATATTGCCCTACCCGTGACTATTTGGGGAAACAGAAGACACTGCTTCCATTACTCTTCTTTGCATAAAATTCAACCCTCACACAAAGAAAAAGATGTTCCAAATTTGACATGTGAGAATAGAATGGCAAATTTGATATAGCCTATGGCTGTATAACCGTGGTGGGGAACCTCAGGCTTGAGTGGCAAATGCACCCCTTAAACTTTCTATCTGGTCACAACCCTCACCAGCCCTGGGTGTTTTGCCTGGTGAAAATGCATCCTTGAACTTTTAACAATGCCCCTTTGCTTGTCTAGATGGAAGAGAAAGAAGGGGGTGAGTGTGTATGAATCTAAAACGTAAAGATATCCCTGGCTGTTAGGTCCAGTCGTGGACGACTATGGGGTTGCGCGCTCATCTCTCTTTCAGGCCGAGGGAGCCGGCGTTTGTCTGCAGGCAGCTTCCAGGTCATGTCGCCAGCATGACTAAGCTGCTTCTGGTGAACTAGAGCAGCGCATAGAAACTGTTTACCTTCCCGCTGGCGCGGTACCTATTTATCTACTTGCACTTTGATGTGCTTTCGAACTGCTAGGTGAGCAGGAGGTAGAATGTAGTCTACTGTAAAAGGCAAATGGTACATTCATTGCTTCCCCCACTGTTACTTCTGGACCTGCCTACTGCTAGCATGCAGCCTTCGGAAGATTGTTCAGAAGAGAATTGGGCCCTCTAATTGGAAAAGCTTCCTCACCCCTGCTCTATAGTATTGTTCCCATAGTATAGACATGGATGAGCCTGAGAGAGAATGGCTTGCCTAATGTCACTTCATGCATCAATGGCAGAGGCAGGGTTCAAACCAGGGACCTCCTATTTTATAGTTTAGTGCCTTAAACACTGCACTATGAAGCACACAAACTCAAACATTCTGGCCAACTTGCTGACAACAGCAAAAGCTTGGACAGGAACAGCTTTCCAGAACAGAGTACTGAAAAAGCAGGCAATGATACCTAACAGTAAACTTTATGCTGACCTTCCCAAACTGAAGACAGATCAATACTGCTTTGCAAAAGTATGTACGACTCTATGAAACTTGAAAGTCAATAACCTATTTTCATCCTAGGTAGAATGCAGTGCAGTACATCAAATAACCACACAATTGCATTGAACTTAAACTGAACTAAGTGCTGCAAATATTAAGCAGACAGTAATTTCACATCTAAATGTGAAAGAGACACCGAATGAAAGACATTCAAAATGTCTGTGCATGAAGAGCGTAATGGTGGGGGGCACAATATTATACTCCTTGTACCTCCTGGAATACCACTGCTCTAGGGTTTAATCTACAACCAGGTCCCGTATCAATCACTTGCTATGTGGGCTGTGCACCAGATTTGGACAAAGCACCAAATTGGACTTCACCCCAGGCTCTTCCTCTACCACTGAAATAGCATTGAAAGATAAATTTTATACTCAACAGAATCTATTGTGTTGTGTAGTTGGTTGTGGTGTGTGTATGGCGCCCACAACGGCTTTTGTGGTTTGCAAATGTGTCCACGGGCCCAAAAAGTATGTTATCACAATGTGCACTTTTTAAAACATACTTTTTGAGCCGGGAATGGTATTGCAAAATTCAAACAAGCATGTAATCTGAAGGATAATTATGTTACAGGCTGCACATTTGTTCAGAAGGTTCACATCAGGTCACTTCACATTAGAATTAACAGAAATCAAATTCATCAAGCATCCCTACTAATCTTCGGATGTGTGGGAGTTGGAAACCTGATAACCTTCCCAAAAAAGCCAGTTCTATAATACAGTTTGAAACCCAATGAATTAGAACATATCACCTGCATGAGTTGAGGCCATAATGTTGTGAACTGGTGTGGTTTTTAGTGTGTCAGACCATGGGGTGACCAGGAGCCAAATTCTCACTCAGCTATAAAGTTGACTTGGTGACTGTGTGCTCGTAACTACCACTCGACCTACAGTACCTCTCAAGGTGTTATGAGGATAACACTGATGGGAAAAAATGATGTATGACACCTTTGGTGAAAGACAGGATAAACAGTAAGTACATTTTCTCATTCCCTCTGGCATACAAGTGAGAATGGGATGCATTTGATCTGGATGCCTCCCTATCTGACCAGCCACATCCCTCACCAACCCTGCTTCACACCCTCATTGAGTGTTTTTCGTTGTTGTTTTTGCATAGTTGGAACATATCCTTGATCTCTACTCATACCTCTTGCTTGTTCGGAAGAGGGGTGAGTGAGCAGAAAACTGTCCTATTATTACAAAGGTATATTTTTCATTTAAGCCACTTTTACCTCCAATCCTGCCCACCATTGACCCTGGAAGGTAGCTCAGAAGGGAATTTGGTCCTCAGTCTCAGTGGTGTAGCATGGGAGGGGCTGGGGTTGCCTTTTTTGAGGGGGTGCGACCAGGGGCCCCCATGCAGACTCCCTCATTGGAGCCTGAATTGGCCCAACACAAGCAGCCACAGTTCCACTCCTTGGTCAAGCCTATCCTGGGGGCAGAGAAAGAGAAAGGAGTCGCAGCAACTCTGCCGCCCACTTTCCTTGGCTGCAGTGTGCCAGCTGCAGCAGCTCCACCCTGAGTCACGCTTGACCTGGAGGTACAGCAAGCTCCCTTCGTGCTGGGCCTACCTCTTGGGGCACCTGCATGCCCACCCCAGGCAGCACTAGCTATGCTCCAATACTGCTTGAAATGAAAAAGATTCCCCTACCCTTGCATTATATCATTTCTTGACTGGTCCAATAAGATAGCTGAAATTACTACCCATCAAAGAAAATCAGTGGTGGTTTAATGTCCCATTCAAGTAGCCATGCAAACAGAAGCAAAGTGGAATGCTTTGCCGATCTCTGCAATGTGGGAAGTAGATGAAACTACTGGTGTCAGTAAATGGTAGGTTCAGTTGTACTCAGCAAACACAAATGTTCAGTCTGAAGGTATTAAGCAATGGCTTAATTCAAGGACAGAATCTCTTAAATGTGCATAAATATTTGAGGCACATAAACATGTGGCCCTTGTACGCTAAATTCCCACATACCCAATCTTTAAAGAGAGGCGGGAGAGGGGGGAGAATTGTTTCTTATGTTGAAATAAAGCTGCAAAGGCAATTTCCAAACAAGCATTCAGTTGGATCAATAGCTCAAAATTGAATAGAACAATGCCTCTTACTGCTTTATAGAATTTTCAAAAGATTTCAACCACGCAAACCCAATTCTTCAAGTTCCACCGCTGGGATTTATAGCCTTGTTTTTTATCCCTTGGAAAGGGGGGGGGATCAACACACCAATGAAAACAAAGATCTTATTCCTAGACACACACACAACACACACACACATCCCTGTCTGTGTTCAAATAATGCCATGGGGTGTGCGTGGAAGGGTCTAACTTAAACCCTCAAAGCAAGGGCAACTTAAAGAGAGGCACAGGTGTTCAGGAATACAGTAGGGATCTTCAAAAGATTAAGAGGATCTTAAATGCCTGTCTTCTGCAATACCCTGATGTAATAGATACAGGCTATGCTTATTAAGATCTACTAGCATCTCCTGCAAAACAAAGGTGAAAGAGAAAACCATACAGATGTGAACGTTGAAAGAAATGATCTCTAAGTTCACATCCTTCCTAAAAAACGTGTTGCTTATTCTCTTAGTATTTGTTAAGCTCTGCCTCCTGCCATCTTCTGTGCTGACTTGTGAAACAGAAAAGTATTGCTTATGAATGAGAGAAATATTTGTACCACCCTCAGGCATCCACTACCTGTGCACTCCCCGCCCCCCCCCCATGCACACATAAACTCATTGACTTTATACCAGGGATGGGAAACCTCAGGTCCAGGGGTCAAATGTGGCCCTCAGGTCTCTATATGGCCCTCATGGATTTCTTCAAGCCACACCCCTCGTCAGCCCTGCTTTGCAACCCCCCCCCCCACTTGAGCCTTTCTGTCTGGCAGGAATATGCCTTTGATAATGCTTCTTGCTTGTCTGGATGGAGGGCAAAAATAAAGCTGTACCCAAGTGAAGATATGAGCCTACTATACAAAGGTAGCATTAACACTGGTTACTCTGCCCACTTTTGCCTCTAGTCCTGCCCCCCACTGGCAGGTGCCCCCAGGACTGTTACCCAGAAGGGGAATGAGATCCTTGGGATGGAAAAGATCCTCCAGGCCAGGCTGAAATCCATCCCTCCCAGCTGCCCCCGCCCATAAAATATTCTTTTTCTGTAAAAACATTTTCTGCTGCTCTTTTTGTTGTTATTGTTGTTCTGGGGGAGGATGAGATATTGCCCCAGCACTTTCAGAAAGGAGTTGCTTCTTACCTTACTGGGTCTCACAAAAATTTGCAGCCTGTGGGGAGAGTCTTGCTTTCCTGAATGTCACAAAACTACTTCTTTATTTAATTCAAAAAAGCAGGAAAATATGAAAAACCCTTATCCACTATGTTATTATTACTACTAATAATACTGCATTTATATTCCACCTTTTTTCCAAGGATCTCCAGGTGGTGTGCATAGTTCTCCCTGCTCTGTTTTATCCTTGCAACAACCCTGTGAGGTAGGTTAGTCTGAGAGACTGTGACTGGCCCAAGGTCACCCAGTGAGCTTCATGGTGAAGTTGGGACTAGAACTCTGCTCTCCCAGATCCTAGTCTAGCACTCTTAACCAATACACCACACTAGCTCTCCATAAGGTTGCTGTATAAGGTTAGCATAAGTGGCAGCACCCACCTAGCAATTTCAATGAGATTTGTCTCCCCACCACCACAAAAAAATGTTTTTGTGGTTTTTTTTTTTTTTGGAAGAATCTCATTTCACACACACAAAATTCCATCATTTTCCACAAACATCTAAAAAACACAAGATCAAACTAGATGTGATGCAAGAGGTGCATGAACTGGTTCCTCATTTTTAATTTTATTTCAGTGCTGCAGCCATGGGTTCTGAATTCGAGTGGATCAGCAGCATGATCCATGGACTTCTTGTCAGGTTTTTTTTCCACCCTAGAGGGGAAATTTTATTATAATTTTTTAAAAATAAAATTTCTATTGTTGCCCAAAAACAGTAGCTATGAACAACATGTAAGCTGTTTCTCCAGGTTATATTCACACCAATCCTGTGAGCTAGGTTAAGCAGAAAGAGAGACTGATTAACCCAACATCACCCTGTAACATTCTCAAATAGTCCTGGTCCTGTTGCTTCTGTGAATAGGAAACCAAGATTTGGGGAGGAGGGGAAGTTTGACTGCAAAAAAAAGCATGAAAAGAATTATGCAACCCCAGTCCATACTCTTTGTTGATCCAATCAAATTTGGAAAACCTTTCACAGTTCCTCCAAAGCTTTACAAAGATATCTGCCACAAAAGATATGCTGCTGTATACGGCTGATCCGACTTCCTGAAGCAGATTGTTGCAAAGACAGTCTTCCTCTCTGTGCACCCAGAATTGAATGTTTGCATTCTCCTCTCCATATTCCAGAAATATTTACAAGGGGATATGTTTTGTATTGCTTTCCTAGAGTGGCAAATGAGTGACAATTGAAAGGGACACTTTTGATTCATGATTCCCTCAGAGTTGTAGACACAGATACATTCTCCTTATGCACACGTCAAACAGAATAGCATAATGCCCCTTTCTCGGGAGCTCCAATCTCACCATCAAATGTCAATGTTTTGGAAAGGTACATCGGAGCCCTACTAGGACTCTGCTATCTTTTGGGGTGTAAAATGAGCTATAATGAAAGGTATCGAAACACCATTGCTTCCTGCTGTTGAGAGAAAAAAGAGAGAAGGAATGTAATGCTTCCCGTTCTTTATTTTTTATCATTTTTTTTTACTGCCATCAGACTGTAACAGTGATCGCCCCATCGTGTTAAACACCAGAGGTGTGATAGCTTTCGATTACAACAATAACCAAAATGACCTTCCTAATAACCACTTCTCTTCGGTAAAATATCCTGTCTTCTGGCTCGAAGCCACTGTGTGTTATTTCATGCTCCATTAAATCATTTATGACTGGATAGTTTATTGCTACCCCTGGAAAGGGAGGCGGGGGAGAGTGAAGAAACTCTGAACTTGTTCCCTGGTGCAAACACTGGTACCCACCACTGCTTAAGAAGGAGCCAGAACATCAGACTCAAGGCCATACGAAGAGGCCATAGCTTAGCAGAAAAGCATCGGCTGTGCATGCAAAAGGCCCCAGGTTCAATCCCTGACATCTCCAGGTAGGGGTGTCTGAAATTGTGGACAGCTGTTGCGAGTCAGTGTGGATAGTACTGAGCTAAATGAACGGACAGCTTCTTGTGTTTCTCATGTACCTAAACGCAGTTCTAAGAAGGTAGCTTTAAATATTACATGAAGAGCAGTAGTGGCCAAATCATGGAAGAAAGGGCAGGGGGCCCCTTAAATTAAATCCAGCATCTCCATCTTCTGACTCAGGGCTGACATTAGGGCTTGGCAAGGAAGAACATTTGTTGAAGCCCACATCTCATGCAGGTCCCACTGCTGATCACATTAGCCTCCTTGCCTTCATGCTGCTCCCTTTGCCATTGCCACTTGCCTGCTTTCTCCATCTCTCTGGTCTAGAGGCAGACAGTTCAAAAGCAATGGCAGTGAGCAGAAAGTTAACAACAGCTGCCATCACCTTCTTGCTCACCTGCCTTCCTCTCCATGAATTAGACCAGGGACAGAGGATTATGGCAGGGAGGAGAACAAAGACCTGATGGAGGCATCTTGCCCGAGGGAATCCTAAGAACTGGAGTCAGCATTGTTATGACTCCCTCAACTTTTAGTCAAGTGGTGTCTCCCCACTGCCATCTAAAACAATAGCAAAAAAGTTGGCTGAGGTCGTGAAAAACACCTTTTACCAGCTTTGTTAGCTATGACAGTGCCAGGTGTCTCTAAACCACAGTAGTTTGTCTACAACACTGATAACTTCAAGATTTTAGTTCTGATCCAAATGCATTCAGAACTAACCAATCTTATAGTTTGTTGTTATCACTGGAAGCATGAGAATATGATGTCCAAATCACCTGAACAGCCTCTTTCAGAACTGCTTAGAACATGGAAAAAATGGATAGGGAGACATTTTTCTCCCACTTTTATAATAGCAGCACTGAATTCGTTTTATGTTCTCATCTCCTTAACATGTAAAAACACCCAGGCTACATTTACATGGTAGTTTATTCCATTAACCTGACATTTCCCTAACTTCCACATTATATTTGAGCTTTCACATGATTTAAAAGCCACTTCTGGAAAACTAATGGGAATATAGCACAAGCTTAGTGCTCATTTCCATGTGATTTGATTCCAGAAGAAATCCATTTGCAGCCCCTTTAATCTGGAAAATTGTGAGAGTAACGTGAAAAAATATATATGGGGCAGTATATCAGCATTCAGTTCTTTCCTGCTCTTTTCATGGGGGAGTCATGGGGGTGGCGAATGTGGTGTGAATGAAAGTAATCATGACCTGTCAGTATATTGGTCAAAAAGCCACAGTTCCATAACACAGCAACAGGTTTGAAAGGAAAATTAGAAAACAGGAAAGAAGCACCAGCATTATAATCATGAAAAGTAATGCAATATTCCTCACATCTGAATGCACCCTCAGAGAAATCTTGCTGCCTACAGTTTGGGGACATAACACCAGGCTGCGCAGGACTCTGTTTCCTTTGGTTTAAGTCAAACTTGTCATCCAGATTTTGGGGTGTGTTCCCAGTTAGCCAGAGCACTGCTCCTCTCAGTCTCCCACTTGCAACTTTTATGTACCACACTAACACATTGGTCAGGAAACAGTAAAAGGGTGCTCTGTATCACAAACTGAGCTTCATGCAAGCAGGGCTGCTTGTATATTTGCCTATACAAAGGGGATGCACATTCTATTTAAGAGAATCCATGACGCCCTCCTGGCGTAATTTGTCATGAGACAAAGGTTCTTGAGAGCAGAAGAAGCTGTAAGGCCTACAAGGCCTACACAGTCATTCAAGCCTAAGCCTGCTAACTGTTAACAGCAAACTGCTAAGTCACTGTGACTCGTGACTCATCTTGGGTGATGACTCGTTCTCCCTATAAAAGTAGCCAGCCTCTCCGGGCCTCAAGTCAGAGAGCTGTATGGATTGTGAATGGAGTAGTCTGTGGAATAGTGCTGTTGTTGTTGCTATATAAAGCTAAGGCAGACAGAGTGGCTCCAGGACTCTAGTAAATCAGTAAACTAAGACTGTTCCTCTCTGTGAAGAGTCAGATAGCTGCTATGAGCACTCTTTGTATGTTCTTTAACTATGCTGTTTATGAACAACTTTATTTTCTTCAGTAAAAGTTTTACAGTGGTACCTTGGGTTAACACTTCAGGTTACATACGCTTCAGGTTACAGACTCCGCTAACCCAGAAATAGTACCTCGGGTTAAGAACTTTGCTTCAGGATGAGAACAGAAATCGCTCAGCGGCAGCGGGAGGCCCCATTAACTAAAGTGGTACATCAGGTTAAGAACAGTTAAAGGTTAAGAAGGGACCTCCAGAATGAATTAAGTTCTTAACCCAAGGTACCACTGTATTTCTGTTTATGAAAGAAGACTCTGCATTGATTAATTTACTACTGTGCGACATAATTGGTCTGTGGGAGGAAGTGCAGCTCAGTGGAAAAGCATAAGTGTTGTATGCAAAAGCCCCCAGTTTCAGGGCTGATCTACCTAGAGGTTCCTCCACACACCCCAGGATTTCACACCTGAAATCCTACAGAACTACTGACATTCAATGTAGAGCAGCCTTCACTGACCTGGTACCCTCCAAAAACCTGGGCTGATGGGAGTTCTGGTCCAAAGCATCCACAGGGCAGCAGGTTGGATAAGGATGGGGTAGACAGCAGGAAGCAAAATAGACGAAGGGTCCTACTCAGTACATGGCAGCTTCCAGTGTATCTTGCTCTTCACTGGTCTGCATATTCTGGTCTCCGGTAATCGGTCCTCAAAGAGCAAACCAGAGTCCCATGGCACTGCCCCTGAAACTTATTTACGGAAAAGAGGAGTGCATAAAAATGTAATAAATTGTAGCCCTATTGTTGCCAATATGCATTTTGTTTAAAATAAATTCTGCGAGTCATAAGCAAGTGGTATTTCAGGAGTGAGCAGTTACCTTTCCCTGCTCCCCCTCCCCTTCAACCTTTCATTTCCTAAGTGCTTTGGCTCCATCTCCATCATCCATTTTTTTGCCTAACAAGATTGTATGATTATGAAAACATGTCAAAGAACATTCATTATTGCCTCGAGCCTCCATAATAAAAGAAAGGGCCATCATATTTCTAAATGGCATTTATAATCACAACAATTTGCAGAGGTAAATTAAAAGCCCTGAAGATAGCCAAGAGGTAAACAACCTTGCAAAATTATACCAGAGCACTTGTAGAGTGAGGCATTAACTTGGATGGAAATGGTTCATTAGGCTTTTAATCTTGAGAAGCTTCCACAGCAGCCCACGCGGGGAACAGACTTTTAAAAAATGAAATACACATGCCTGTTTTTAGACACACATTCACATGTACACATTTGTATATGCACACACAACATTATTATTATCAGTATTTATTAAACTTGTATACTGCCCTTTGTCTCTAGATCTCAGGGCAGTTCACAAAACAGGCAAGATGGCAGAGCCTCAGATTGCTTGGGAAGGAACCAGGAAAGGAGGAACTTTAGGGAGCTGTAGGAAGGTGGGGACCTTTGGGAAGTGTTGCTGTATTCACTAGTCCTGGCCTCCTGAGCTGTTTTGTTTCTTTGAATAAAGAGTTTACTTCACCAAAGTCATGTGAGTTATTGCTGACCTGCTCTCAGCACCCGCTCTTGACACTCCCTTCACATAAACTGGGGCAATTGTGAAAATGTTGAAATGAGTGGCAGTGAAACTAAGTGGTTGGGGAGCTGCAGGCATGAGGAAGCAATGCTGAAGAGACAAGGGTTGAATTGACATCATGCTCCCCCTCCCCAAAGGTCTGAGATTGCCTGTCCTGCAGAAGATCCACAGCTGTAGAGGAAGACAACGCTCTGGTCCAGGCGAGATGCAGTATCTCCTCTCCCTGCTTGCTCACCCTTTTGACTCCCTCCTTTCCTTTTGACAGTCCCAGGTAGGCTTTGTCAACCTGTTCCAGTCAAAACCATGCTGCTCTGGTTCATAATGTGGACTTCAGCTGGTGGTTATTTTCAAGAATGTATGCAGTTTTGTGCAGACATCTCCCTAATCTATGCATTTTTGTAAACTTTGGGGGTTGGATAACTGCACCAGAAAATTCAGGGAAAAGCAAATTCTGAAGTCTAGGTGCTTTTCAATTCACACATTGGTTCAGGAGTACAAATTAGGCAATAAGGATCCAATCCAAACGAAATTTCTTACCCATCCCTAGAGAAAGATAACCATTTTGCACATGCATAACGTTTTCAGGTGTTTTACACATTTGCAGAATGTCCGAATTCGCCCTCCTTACATAACATACAGATCCACAGATCAATTGCACTCTCTGTTGCTTCTCAGAAATTAGAACACAAGAGGCAAGTGCTTCTGTTCTTCTGACATCCAGTCAACATCCTTTTGTCGGGATGCACTGGCGTGCTTTACTGATACCACAGACCTCCCCCACTGCTACCTGGAACAACCTGTGTTTTTTGTTTAGGCAAAGAGGCTATCATTCATTCTGACAGCTCCAAAAATATGCATTCAGATGAATTTTCCTTTATAAAAAATGCATGCAAAAGCTCCTTCAAGGTTACTTCCAAAACTACAGCTTGTCAGAAGATGGTGCTATCAGGCAATTTATATCAGTGCCAAGAGTTTCTGTTTTAAGTTTTCCGTTTTTTTATTAAAAAACCCCAACAAAAACTCAGTCCCTTAGAAAATATATATTAAAAATGGTTGCTTAGCTTGAAACACATTAATTTTTTATGAAGCAAATTATTCCAAATTCTGCTATAAACAGAACTTCGACCTTGGACTAGATAAAAGTCATCAGATCAGCGCTGGAGGGATCCAGGGCTAGGGAACCTACAGCTCTATAGGTCTTGATGGACTCCAACTCCCATCAGCCTTTGCCAGCTTAGCCATTGATGAGGGATGATGTGGCTTGTATCCCATCTGGAGGGTAACCGGTTCGCCATCCCTGATTTAGTCCAACCACTGACCAATGAAGGAAACCCAGTGCAAGGACATCCCTATTAAATCTCTGGTCCAGCAAGGGCAAATCAAGCTCTACCCCTCTAGGCAACTGGTTCCACTGTCAAACTACACTTAGTGTCAATACATTTCTCCTAAAACTGAACCAAAATCTACCCTCCTGCAACTTAAGCCTATTAAATTAAGTCCTTTTCTGTATAATTTTTATTAAGTTTTTCTATTTTACATTTTAGAATATTCATTTAAACAACCTTACCATATCAATGACTTCCCTTCTTCGCTTTCCATGGTTCAGTTTGCATGCCATAGACCGCTGCATAGTTTACATAAACTAAACCATTCAGTATTTCATTTTTACATCAATCAAAACTTATTTACACTGTTGAATTTATCTTAAAGCTGCCAACGTTTTCAAATGTACACAATTTTCACCCATATACTCAATAAACATTTTCTAATCATCTTTAAATGTATGTTCTTCTTGTTCTCTTATTCTACATGTTAGGTCCACAAGCTGCACATATTCCATCAGTTTAAGTTGCCATTCTTCTTTAGTTGGGACCTCGCTCGTTTTCCATTTTTGGTCTAATGAAACACAGGCCGCAGTAGTGGGATACACAAATTGCCTTTTTTGACACCTGGAAATTTCCGTCTGAATTATCCCCAGCAAAAAGGACTCTGTTTTTTGGAGTTTTGTTTGTTTGTTTTGAAAATTACTTTTAAACATTTTTTTTCAATTCATTATAAATTATTTCCCAATATTCTTTTACCCTTTTATATTAAATATTAAAGTCCTGGCCACTGCAGCAGCAGAAAGTAGGGCCCCATCTGCACCATATACCGTATCTAAAGCATCATCATACCACTTTTAACAGTTATGGCTTCCCCCAAAGAATCCTAGGAAGTATAGTTCGTTAAAGGTGGTAAGAGTTGTTAGGAGACCTCCATTCCCACACAGAGCAACTGTTCCCAGAGTTCACTGGGAAGAGGGACTAATAAGGAATTGCAGCCCGGGGTGGTAACAGGAGGTCTCCTAACAACTCTCACCACCCTTAACACACAACAGTTCCAAGGTTTCTTTGGGAGAATCTGTGACTCTTCAAAGTGGTACAACACTGCTTTAAATGAATAGTGCAGATGGGGACCAAATCCCTTTGGTATTTCCCTCAGATTCATTTCTGATAGTTTTATTTTAAAATATATATATATATTTATTGATTTTCCAACCATTTAAACACAATAAAACAGAAAAAACAAAAAAGGAAAAGAAAAAGCAAAGAAAAGAAAAAACATAAGATTAACAAAACAAGACACAAACCATTTAAAACACAAAACAATTTCAATATCTTAACTTTCATTCCCTTATTTCCACAAGCTCCTCACGCCTCCCTTTTTGTATTCCACTTCTATTAATTGTTTCAGCAATTCCTTTCCATCTTCCTCTGTTTTCTATCCTACAATTATCTTAACATATTCTAATCTTATTTTTCCCTTTAATACTCTATTAGTCTATTTATACTTAATTCCTTATAGCATTTCTACTAAAGCCATATAACTTCATTCCAACATTTTTCTAACATTCATTATTTTTACAATATTTCTATAAATAGTCTTAAACTTTTCCCAGTCTTCTTCCACCGACTCTTCTCCCTGGTCTCGGATTTCTGCCAGTCGTTTCCGCCAATTCCATATAGTCCATCAACTTCCTCTGCCATTCTTCCCGGATAGATAAATCTTGTGTCTTCCAGTACTTCACAATGAGTATTCTTGCTGCTATTGTTGCATACGTGAAAAGGGTTCTATCCTTCTTTAACACCAATTGGCCGACCATGCCCAGGAGAAAGGCCTCTGGTTTCTTCAAAAGGGTATATTTAAGTACCTTTTTCATTTCGTTATGAATCATCTCCCAAAGTGTCTTAATCCTTGGGCATGTCCACCAAAGGTGAACTCGAATCCTCAAATTCGTCTGTTTTTCTTTAAGTTCAGTCATAGCAAGCGTCAGCTTATATTCATCAAGTTGCTTCTGTAGGGCTGGGGCTCTCTTTCTCTTTCTCTCCAGCTGTGTTTCTTTACATTCAGCAACAACAGCTTTTTCCCTGGCCTTCTCCGCAGTTTGCCGTATCGAAATAGGTTCCTGTGTCAATTTCTGGGTAGTTTCTATATTAGTATTATTTATACTTTCTATATTTCTGATAGTTTTAGACTCATTTGCTAAAAAAATAAAAATGACAAATTTGTGAATGTCATAACCAATTCACTTGGTTCAGAATCCGAACATGCATGCAGTTTCTGCTGTGAATTATTCCTAATTGTGGCAGTTAAATTTGAACAAAGTGCACCTTCTGCCATGAGGATGAACTAATTAGTTTTTGTTTTTATTATTCATACTATTTAAATTACCATAGAATATATTGTATATATTAAAATTACCCAGTTAAAATCAACAGCACAAGGCACTAAAAAGATACGCATGAACAACAATAAAAAAAATCAACAGAGAGGAGCCAATACAAGCACAGCCAAAGAAAATGTAAAAGAAAATTTAGCAAGCAAGCCAGCCAGCAAAACTCTTGCCAATTTACCACTAAAAAAGAAAACAAGTTAGAACAATTCAAGACTTGAGGAAATACAAAGGCTATTTGCATGCATAACCATGTAGACATTCATGAATCAGATTGACCCATGCCCCTTTCTAATATCTCGGATGGCCATCTGACAGGGTTGGTGCCACCAGTGAGTAAGCCCTGATGTCAGTGGATGTACACCAGGCCTTATTAGCTAAGGCCCTCTAACGCTGAACCAAGGGAATAGGGTGCCCATTTCCCAGGCACAAGTTTAGCATCGTCTGGTTTTGCCCTCATTTCAACACAGCAACATGTTGACCAAAGAAAGACTTGTTTGGTTTAAATTAAGGATTGCCTTGCATTCTTGGAAGGCTTTAACAGAGGAGTAAATAAATGAATCAACTATTAGTCACAATGGAATTGTTCCACCACTACTTCTGCAGGCAGAATGCTGCTGCATACTAGTTGCTGGGGATCACAAGTGAGAGGAGTGCTATTACACTAGGATCTTGTTTATGGGCTTTGAAGATGCACCTGGTTGGCCACTGTGCAAACAGAATGGTTGAACATATAGGCCTATAGCCTGATACAGTGGGGCTCTTCTGTTCTTACCTTTTGTTGCATGCTATTTCCATTGCCAGATGAGGAGGCATGGATGTGGTTAAGAAGTGGACTGCTTTACAATTAAGATGAAGGGCACTCTGCTTATACATTCAGAATGAATCTATGATGCAGTGAAATCAATATTATTTCTCCTCAAAAGCAGATACTTCAACCTCTATTTTCTAATGTACTAATAGTTTTTCTCTCCCGCTTTTTTCATCTCACAGCATGATGCAAACACACCCACACCCAGAGCATTTCTGCATTTTTTCTGGAGAAACAAAGGACACATTATTATTATTATTATTATTATTATTATTATGAAACCCTAAGAACAAAATTTGCCTGCCTTTTGGTCTCCTTGCGTTATGACTGGCTCTCTCAGCCTAACCTCCTGATTTGCTCTCAAATTTATTAAACTTCTGGGTTCTGTACATTCTGTTGAGGAATCTTATTAATGTACCAAAATGAGGGGCCAGGGAGGAAGGATGGATAAGAAAAACATTGGAATACTGTTTAATATCACGCTAATGACATAGTGGCCGGTGAGGTTGGGGAATCACTGCAGCTTACCTGGTCAGGGCTGGGGCCAGAGATCAGGGAGAAATTTGATTCAGTTTGCATTTAAAGGCAAGCATACTAATTCACACTTTTCCAAGCAATGCAGGAACTGAAACAGTGCCATCCTTTGTAATTACATGTCTCTGAACTTTGCAACACAGTGACCAAGTAATGTCTACGAAAATGCATATGCTAGGGGGAAAGGGGACTGTTCTGAATCATGCTGAGTGGCTGCAGAACCCATGAGACCCCAGAATGCACCCCGCTCCAACTCCTCCCTAGGGGTGACCAGAAGCCTCCTATTCACTGAGCCTTTGAGCTGCAGAGAAGGAGGCAGAAGAGGAGGCAGATCTGGCCTCCAAGGAGTGGCAGCAGCAGCAGCTGGGGAAGCCTTCCTTGGAGGCTGGATCTGCTGCCCCTGTGGATTCTGCTGCCCGAGGCAGGTGCCTCACCTTGCCTCATGGGTTGACCAGCCCTAAAAAGGTAAAGGACCCCTGACAGTTAAGTCCAGTCGCGAACGACTCTGGGGTTGCGGCGCTCATCTTGCTTTACTGGCTGAGGCAGCTGACGTTTGTCCACAGCCAGTTTTTTCGGGTCATGTGGCCAGCATGACTAAGATGCTTCTGGTGAAACCAGAGCAGTGCACGGAAACGCTGTTTACCTTCCCGCTGGAGCGGTATCCTTTTTATCTAATTGCACTTTGACGTGCTTTTGAACTGCTAGGTTGGTAGGAGCAGGGACCGAGCAATGGGAGCTCACCCCGTCGCAGGGATTCGAACCGCCGACCTTCCGATTGGCAAGCCCTAGGCTCAGTGGTTTAACCTACAGCGCCACCCACAACCCTTGACCAGCCCTACTGGTGCCCATTGGGACCAGTAGGACAGAGGAGCTCAACAGTAGATGGAGTCAGAGCCAATGACAGACAGTGTCAACTAATTCTTGTTTTGTACCCTGCAAAGGGACAAAATTGGGATTAATTAGGAGGAAGCTAGCAGGCAGAGGCACTCCCTGGACTCATTGTAAGCCCTAAATGACTTTGGTCCCAAATATCTGAAAGACCACTTCTTACCCTACAGACCCTCCAAGATGTTAACATCAGCAGTGGGGGCCCTCTTAGTAGTTTCACCTCCCTTGAAAGTTTGAGCAGTGCTAGCTTGGGACAGGGCATTATTTGAGACAGCCCCTAAATTGTGGAAGTCTCTCCCTAAATAGTTGTATCAGGCATCCTCAATATGTGGGTTTTGGTAAATGCTGAATACACATCTTCACCCTGGTCTGTGGCACCCAAGATGTGTGTTTTAGGGCCCACCCAGTTCCTGTGATTGTACTCTACTTTAACTTCAGAACTGTAAATTGCTGTAAACCACCCTGGGAACTGCTGATGAAGGGTGGGCAATAATAATACAAAAAAACAATGGAGGATGAGGAGACAGACTGGTGAACAGCTAGCTAAGGTTGGTGGGTCAGTACCCAAGTCATCCTAATGGGTCAGCCTTTGGTAAGTCTGAGAAGAGAGACAGAAAAAGAGATTTGGGGTACTGGTGACAAAGCCTCAGTCTGTCCATGAGCTATGTAGGAATACATCTATGTACAAGGTCAGATAATCTGGATTTTGAGAAGGCAAAGCTCCAATGCTGCCGCAGCAGGATTTAGGGCCAGTCTAGGTTAGAAGGAACCATTTTCCACAGGCTTCTGGGCCTAATATCTTGACCCCCCTGAAGCTAATTAACTAGGAACGAAAGCCCTTCATAGCCCAGCAGCCATGCAGGTAAAACTCAAGTTTCAAAGCCTGAGCAGTCATTTCAGTTTTTAAAAGGTTGATAGCTCATGAGTTAGACATGTTAGCATTGATAAAGCACCTCTGCCCACAATGGAATCTTTTACAAGGGAGATCATTGGCCCAGAGCAAAAGAAGGTTAACATGTTAAGGTCCTTTGCACTTAATGAAAAAGTCATTGAACTTGACAATTGCTCCAGATGACACCATCCAATTTGCATGTACTAGAAAGTTGGACACAGATTATGAGATAAATGCCTGAAATCCTTCATAATGCTGTTGCATTAGATAAAAACGAGCATTTAGGTTGAACAGTTTGTCAGGCTTAGAGAGAGAATGCGAGCGAGGGAGAAGCTAGTCCAAATAAAACTTTTCTTGCACATGAATGCGGTTCAAAAGATTTATAAGGAGAACATAAGAACTGCTTGTCTGGATCAGACTAAGGGCCTTCTAGTAAAAGCATAGCCAGCATGGTGCCCTGAATATGTTACTGGAATCCAATGTGCCATCAGCCTTAACCTGTATAGTCAATAGCAGGCATCCCCCAACTTGCCCCCCCCCCCAGATGTTTTGGGACTACAATTCCCATCATCCCTGACCACTTGTCCTGTTAGCTACGGATGCTGGGAGCTGTAGTCACAAAACAGGTGGAGGGCCGAGTTTGGGGATGCCTGGTCAATAGTCAGGGATTATGGGGGATGAAGTCTAACAACATCTGCTGGGCACCGTATAAGCTGCCCAACAGCACACCAAAGGCATGAACTCAGCACCCTGGTCCCAAAGACATTTGCTCTTGGGAGGAGTTTCAAGAACAAAGAATAGAAAGATTATCATAGAACTGAGGCAATTATGTACAGAGACATCTCTGGAAACAAACTCCCTCCTTTAAAGTTTGTGGTGTGTGTGGTGGTAGAGAAGTGCCTTGATATAATGCTCCTTGTTCCAGTGGCATCCTTGCGTCCTTTGTAATGGGTAGTTCTGCACTAACAGTCAGACCAAAGGATTTTTATTCCTGATTGCTACTTATGTTTAGGGGAGCTTTTAATGTTTAATAGGTATTTTAGTGTTTTGTTGGAAGCTGCCCAGAGTGGCTGGGGAAACCCAGCCAGATGGGCGGGGTATAAATAATAAATTATTATTATTTATATGATGATGATGAATGGAGTAAAGATACAAATTCCATAGAACTTTGAGGAGAAATTGAAAGCATATTGTTCAGTGTCCAGAAGCAGCGTTGTTGTTTTGCATATTACTGGAAGAGAATAACATGGTAGTGATCTATGAGTACAAACAACAACAACAACTTGATCCCATCCTTTGAAGTAAATATAAATAGAGGGCTGGTGAAAGCTGGAGTCCAACAACATTTGGGACAACCACAAGTTCTGCATCCCTACCTTAATCTCAGCTGGCTGTGCACATGCTCCAGCTCAGGCTCCCTAAGGTCAGTTTCAACTGGAGGTTTGAGTTGGGCTGCAGCTTCTAGACGTGCCAAAACCCAGAAGTTACCAAATTATCAGGCACAGGCAATAGGGAAGGTTCCCAGCATTTGTACAAGGTTTGACTAGTTCAGAAGCTCCAAACCTCCTGCAGATGAACTACTGATCCTGAAGCCTGAGCATTCAGCCCCAAGGAATGCTATTGGCTAGGACACATATCTGAGGGCTTCTTAACACTTCTGCTTCTCCCGCCACTTCCTCACCAGGGAAAACCTGCTCTTTACAACTGAATAAGAGCAAATGTCAATTGGGTTTTCCATGGATGAACAGTTGCTCTGATTCAGCAGTATAGAGCTGTTTCTCCTGGGGAATGTAGTGGAGAAAATGGAAAACTGCTTGGACCCATGCTTTCTAGCACAGGGCAGGGGAGAGGCGCTGACTTGCACCCAAGATTGAGGGGCCCTGGCATAATCACACACATGTGTGATGTCATGCACACACCGCATTTGTGTGACGTCTTGCACACGATGTCACATCTTCAGGAGGAGGCTAAGCGTGGAGTCTAGCACAGCACAGCTTCAATGGCTGGTGGTTCCTCCTCTCTATCACTCAGGAGCCATACCACACTCAACTTTGCGCTTGGCCTCCTCCACCCCCTCAACATTGATGGGCCCCAGTCACTCTCCCAACAGATGTTAGGGGGCTGAAGACATACAGTTGGCACTCCTTGGACAAGGAGAGGTGTGGACAAGCCCTAAATTCCTGATTAAAGGACTGGAATTCCTGGCAATAGTTTTCCTCTTACATTTTGTTTCCTTGTCCCTCACGCTGCCCAAATGGTGTTCTTGAATTGTGTTCATTTATTGATGCTCCAGCTGCCAAAGTTGTGCCTAGGATTAGTCTGGAAAACTGCAAACATTCTCTTACATAGCAGTTGGCAAGAAGAACTGGTGTTTGCGCTGGAAGAACATCAGTTGTTTTCATCACCTTTCACTAGGGAAAGCATTAAGTGAAACCAGAGTAGGGTTTTTCTTTTTTACTTGATTCAATTCCCCAGATGAAGTTTCTGTTTCATGTTTGATGATACTGACTCATGAAATTTATAATGATGCATTTTGCTGAATGGCCATGAGTTGCAGTGCTGTTGTTTCTTTGGAAAACGATTTAAAAGTGCACTATCTCAGTAGCAGATCTTGGAAACCCTTAAAAATCCAAAACAGTTTAGCCTCCTCCTGGACTTTGAGTTGCTTTAAAAATGTTACCTGTCCAAGTAAGATTATCCCACCACTTCGTTAAAATTAGAGATCCTTTGCTGCACACAGTGAAAAAGAGGGGAAAGAGACAGGATTCTAATGGGAGCGCCCCCTTTCCATGTTCCCTATGTGTAATTATGTTGAAAGTTTGTGATATACAAGTGTAATGTCTGTAGATGTATATCAGGCATGTCCAACTTTCAAGAGACTGAGATTTTCTCTTACTATAAAAAAACTGGCAGTGATCTACCAAAGTTTTGAGCTTTTTTGGGAAGTCAAGCTTGTTGAGCTTTTGGGGCGGTGGGACAGTGATCTACCACAATCTACCACAGAGTCATCGCGATCTACCAGTAGATC